TATGCACTTAGCAACATGAACAAAGTAATTTTGGTAATGATAACCACTCATAACTATTGGTTATGTACTAACTTCTCTGTAATTTTAGAAGTTCTCACAGGGTAGAAACTTCCTTTGTTTTATCTCATTCTAACGTACTACTTCCAAGTTGCACCACTTTTCCTCGCATTGATTTCGCACAAGCTTTTGTAGTACCTTTACACCGATTTTGAAATCTTAACCTTCTTTCCCATTTTCTTCTGTTGTTTTTTTACCCTGCTCCTTATCATACGCTGGTATAATGATTGCCTTTAACATGACTGCTAGGTTCTGTTGAAGCGGAGGAAGGGAGCATTGGTCTAATATGAAAGTTAGATATAATGAGTCACCTTCTTGCTACGACAGCCTCGGCGCCAGAGGTTTACCATCAAACCTCCACATAAGTAAGCTTGTAATAGTGCGGAATTAAAAAAAAGAGTGAATCGATACAATAAAAAAATACCAAAAAAAGGATTAATAAAAATATGAAAGACAAAAAAAGAAAAAATTAAAAAAGAACAACAACATCAGACCGCAGAAGCTTACAACCACACAAGGCACCAGCGTCATTTCTTATCATATTCCGTCTTACTTCACTAATCATGTACATACCACTTCCAACTTACCTTAATTTTTTTTCTTTTGCTTTCTTTCCTTTCGGTAAAATTTCTTTTTTTACTATTGCTATTTTCAAACCTTCTCATTCACTCATTGCTATTGTGCCAAGCCATCCTACTGTTGTATATCGAAGCTTGCTGGCTTCACACCAACCTTCTAGGGGGGGATAACCTGTAGTGCACATTGTACCTTTGAACTTTTGCTTAAACTGACTCACCCACGGTGATCCACGTTTTACCCTTTTGAGTTGTGAGTCTTCCGTACGTTCATTGGTTCGCTCTCTTGTTGTGCTCTCTTTCTGCACACTCTCCGAGCCTACCTCCAGTAACGTCTGCAGCTAAGTTGTACAGTCACTTTATTTATTAAATCTGTTATTTAGTTACGTTAAATACAACTCATACTAAGAATTCTTTCCATTGTTAGCTTTTAAACTTTGATTGAGTTAATCAGTACTTACACGTTAGGTAGAGTACTCGTAAAGTCATAAGACGGTGAAGTTTTTAGTAAGTGTGGTGATATCGAAGACTATCTTAAGTCTAGCTTCAACACTTACACATTCATCTAGGTGACCGTAAATTATAGTATATCGTAATCAAAATATATTCTGAGATCAATTAATATTAATGACACTGTTATCCAACCTACTTTTAACTCTAACCGTAATCCTAACTCTGACCTAAAATCTGACCATAAGGAAAAGCTCTTAACCTGAATCTTAAAAGCCATAACCCTACCTAGCAGTATAGATTTGCAGAAAAAGTACCTAGTAAATAACAAGTATACTGTATCTCACCTCTACAGACTCAAAGAGTCAGGCATGATTTGATTTAGAACGACCTTTCATAGCATTCCCTGTATCTAAATGGTTTTTGAAGATCAATTTTTGAAAGGTTTTGATATTGGCTGTGATGCTTTAACTTCGCCCATTTTCGGTTGTATGTTGTTGGAAGTCCCTACTTTTCCAAAATCTCTAAATGATATGTCCATGCAATTGTAACCTTTGATACATGACTTGATATCCTCTACGAGAATTCCGCTTTATTAGTTACGAAGTGCTGTAGTGCATGTTGGGTTAACACCAATTCTTCTCAATAGAAGTTCCCCCCTTCCAGTCAGAGAATGCACCCGGGCAATGTGGCCAAAACGTGGACTTAATGGGTAATTTTGATCGGCAAGTAGGTGGGCAAAAGAGGGTGTAACTGCTGCATAATTTTCTCCCATTAGTCCATGTCCCAAAAAATTTCATTATCCCGCTTTTTCCCAGTTCATCCACCTCTACAACAAATACTTCGCCCACATTTTACCGCTTCACCCATGCCATTTTCTAAAGTAACTCACTTATTCCCACTTCACCCATGTTACAACCGAAAAAAGCCCACCTTTTCTCACTTTTCCCAAATTTGAGCGGAAAACTGTCCACGTTTTTACCCACATATCCCAGGTCCCCGAAAAATTCACTGACTTGGCCACCACTCCAAACATTTATGTTATGAAATTCTTTAGTTTTCATTTCTCCAGATCGCTCTGGCTTCGAAGTACTGCAGAAACTTTGGAGGCAGACTGCAGATAACTGTCCCATTTTCGCTATTGTGCTGGAAGAATATGCCCCCGGAAATATTGCAGTGAGACCGAAGAAAATGCTAGCTGGGTCAATATGTAGGTTAGAGTCAGTTATAATTATGGAGCATAGCAATTAAGCTAGAGATGGAATGTTTGACTCTTCTAAGTTAATTAGTCTAGAAGAATGCCCAATCCTTGTGATGCATTCACATACATATGATCAAACGACGAGCTGGTATGGGTTGAAAATATTAGACAGCAATCTGATGCTAGGATAGATAATAGATGATTGTTAGCCTGAATTCATGGTTGATGCGACCGAGTGGACATTGATTATTCATCGTTGAGATTTCCTTTGATGCTTGAAGGGTATATACTCGGTACTGTGAATAATTAGGCTATTGTTGTCGTATACGACACAATAAGTATACTTATCTTGGTTAAATTTGACATTTGTGTGCCTCCTCGGTATGGGGAATATTTTGACGCATAGCAGCCAACATAGGCAGCAACGAATAAAAAGCAGTAACTCTCGGTTACAACGTTTAGTTAAGTAGAGTGAGAGATTAATCACTCCACCTCAAATCATCGAATCACCACCAAACACTTGAACACAGGGATGACGTATATATATATATATGTATATGAAGAGTCTCAATGAAAAGCAGCAGGGAATCAGAAGGTATGAAACACTGGAAATACTTGTTGACATAATTAGGGCAACGAATTGTGCTGTAAACGTCAACTAACAAGGATTTGATGAATTCGTCAAATTTCGGTAGAAGTAGTGTGTAGTACACTGACTGTTGAATAAATAAATTTTACTAAACCAGTCATAAAAAACAACAGCTGCTAATGTTTTGCAAGGGGTATGCAAGGATAAAATTCAGGTAATGCATTGCGGTAGAGTTACATCACTTAAATAAAAAATCAGTTATGAGCGAGAAAAATTAAGATTGTCAGGAATTTCAAGCTTTATAACAACAAATAAATAAGATAATGGTACTGTCAGAAACATATTTTTAGCTGAATCAAGTATAATAATGAAATGAAGTGAAATATATGAATAACACTTAGTCACTAGAAGGTGCTATCGTGGTAAATTCAAAGCGACTAGGATTTCCTTCTGAACACAGTTTACAAACTCGATCTCTGTCTAGGTGACGATAAGTTTTAGCGTATGTTTAGAATCAAATTCGTCATCTGCATAATGTCCAGTTTAACGTGAGAAATCCCTATATTTTTCATACATTTACTCCCCTTAATGCATTTGAATAAAACAAGAACGACAGTTTTGCAGAATAAAATGGTGCCATCATTTATTTCGTTGGCTTCTCATCATCTGCATACAGGCCAAAGTCATTATTAAATATATCTACAGAAGCAATTTTAATATACTCGAACAAAGTTCATTTTTAAACAAAAATCCATCAATCAGTATATGCATACAGTTATGTAATGTAAATATATAATGTAAAATATAGAATTCCAAAGACAGCCGTGACACTGTCTTAACTTACAGTATGCTACAATCCATGTATAAACACTCACTCCCCTTGCATTCAACCAAGGCTACCACAGTCTCTTGGTGGAACATACTATGCAGAACTTTATCGGAGACTAGGAATCTTCACCTTGTAGTCAAGAAAATAGCACAAAGAAGTCAAATTGGTTTGGCTTTTAATAACGATACTGGAAATTGGGAATTGAATTTACAGTTTGAAATTTTGAAGTAGGTGCTACGTTTACTCAGTGTGTGATTAGTGAAAGAGGCTACAGTCAGTTTCTAGGGCATGATGAGTTCCTGTGTCGGCTAGTTATATGTTTTCGTGAATTCGTTTTCCATTGAATTTTAAAGGTTTTTCTGGATGTTTTGCTCATTTTGCAGTGTGTAGGTCAGTTTTTGTCACTGGGTGCTACTATTTAGCTCATTTTTAGCCTGAAGTTCACAGTTATTATGTTGGTAGTCAAAGATTATTGTAAACCTGCAATCATTGAGCTAATCAACGTATACTATGCTAATATAGTAACATAGACTATGCTAATAATAGTAACAGTAGACTCCCTTACTGTTTTGCCATTGTTTGACAGCGAAACTTCGCGCTCATTTTTCAACATGAGTGGCACTAAATCGAACCTACTGGGTTTGCTTATCAACGTTGTTCCAGCCCTCATAGGACATATTAAGCATGGACTAGCGTTACTCCAGAGTGGAAAGTTTTGACTCAGCACGCAGGTGTCGTTTTAAGCACGACCTGTGTCATTTCAGAACATAGTGGGTAAATATGATCTTCAGTTACCGTAGAAAGGCATTATCGAGGAATAGGCTACAATAAATTTAGAATATATATATATATATGTATATATATTGGACACTATTTTGAACAATAATGGTCATACCCAATGGCAACTTTCGGCATTACGTAGTCAGATGAAAAAGAGGTGAAAATATCCAGTTATCAGGGCATAGAAAGACTGATAACTGTTTCGTTCTGAACGCATAAATTAGGTTTCAGGCGCTTGATGGAGATGGCTTCAGCAAACTTAAAGAGAATCGAACTCTCTAACCTATTGATAATTTTGAACGATCTTGCGACGTCCACCTCACAACCCGTATCAAGGGGGTGCCTTGCGATGGCATTGTTTAAAGCATTTGCTCCCTTTAGACATAAGCTTTTTGGTACACGTTCGTAAATATCGTAGATATACCCTTATTTCTGTTCTTCCAATGTAACTGCTCCCGCAGATACATGTAAATTTGTACATACAGTTGGAGTTAACATGAATAGGATATCTATCAAATGTTGATTGCACTGAAGAGCAAGTTGTTTGATAGACGGGAACGATCTTAGCTGCAGGATAGGCTGTGGCTAATGACGTACTCAGTCTTATGTTGACCATTGATGCAATGTTTTCACCTTTATAATCAAGTTGAATGTTACAAATTATCAATGGGTAAAAGAGTTCGATTCTCCTCAAGTTTACTGAAGCCATCTCCATCAAGCGCCTGAAACCTAATTTGTGCGTTCAGAACGAAACAGTTATCAGTCTTTCTATGCCCTGATAACTGGATATTTTCACCTCTTTTTCATCTGATTACGTAATGCTAAAAGTGCAACTGTGAAGCATTCATGTGGGGGTGCTCGATGTCCGGAGATGACAGTGTTCGAGGATAGAGCTGTTGCTATTCTTCTTTTCTCCTCTGGCTAAACCCAAGCTGGGCAGTGTTCCAGAATACGTTTGTGGACTTGACGTTGCGTACGGCCGATATACTTTGCTCCACACGAGCAAGTAAATTGATAAATACACATTGAAGTGGTGAAAAGCGGTATCTTGTCCTTAGCGTTAGACTGGATTAACTGTTTGCAGGAAAATGTGATGCGTAGAGTGGCTGTTGGAAATGTCTTCTTCAGACTTTTAGAAAGGCGGTTTCTGAGAATTTCCGCTGCGATATCATCTTTGAATGCTAGGTTCATGAGGAGAGTCTTCTTAGGAACCGTTGTGATGTTTGATACCGGAGGCTTTTCCTTCATGTTTTTTTCGATAAATCTTGGTGGATACCCATTCTCTAGTAGGGTTTCACGTAATAAATTTAATGCTTTCTCTACCATGTCTTCCGAGCAGATTTTTCTAATCCTTGAACACAATGTACGTTCCAGGTTTCTCTTTCGGATCAGTGGAACAAAGTTCTGGAAGTTGATAAAGTGTCCAGTCCATGTTGGCTTGCGGTATATCGACCTTTGGATCGTACAGTTGTGTCTTCTGGTGTGTAGTACATCGAGGAATGGAATTGAGTTGTTCGATTCGCGTTCTAAGGTGAATCTTATTGATGAATGCTCTGCGTTGAAGGTTTTGAGGAGGGAATCTAAATCACATTTTTCATCACAGATTATAAACGTATCATCTACATATCTCTTGTATAAATGCAGTTGACATATCAAGGGATCAAAGATGTTGTTTTCGAGACTCGCCATGAAACAGTCGGCTAGGAGTGGACCAAGAGGAGATCCCATGGCTACTCCATCTTTCTGTACTTTGAACTGCTCATTGAATTTGAACTGGATATTGGACGTACATCTGAGAAGTTCCTTCAGGTAGTTTATGAGGAGAGGAACTTCTAGGTTGTTGGTTTCGATGTACTCACAAATGAAGCATATTGTTTCGGTTAGGGGGATACTTGTGAATAGAGAGGCGACATCTAATGAGATCATTTGTCTTTCAGACACGTTGATATTCTTCACTGAGTCGATGAAGTCAAATGTATCTCTGAGGCTATATTTTGTCATATGTCTTTTAACTGGTTCGAGGATATCAGCTAGCCACTTCGCGATTTGTTGATATGGTGAGTTAACTATATCTATGACCTGTTGAGATGCTTAGGACATGTGATAGAGACATGTGTTACACATGCCTAACCATCGATCGCCGTCCTCGACGGGCAATGTTAGCTGGCATAGGATTGGTCAGGCTGGAAAAGAGCTGGTTAGTGGTGATCAAACCAAAACATGGCTTCATCAGTCAATCAAATCCACAACAGTTAGTTTAAGTCAGTCATGTAGGATGGTGTCGACTTCCTGTTTTGGGTCCTCAAGATGGTTAACACCAATGAAGGCTGGAGACAATTGTTGATATGGGTCGAAATCGTTCTTAGTGATGGCACAGAGGTATCCATTTTGTGTGACTTATAATACCCAATGAAACTATATCGTTCTTCTGTATTACTATTCGCCTTGCCTAATAGCTCTGTTTTGCATTTCTTTTTACTTCCCTTTCTTGCTTTGTGTGCTAAGTGAAGTGTGGCGACTCGAACTAGTGCACATCTGTGTAAAGTGCTATGTTGAAACCAGTCAGTCAGTCAGTCAGTCACTGTCTTAATTTAGAAATTAAACTACTATCCTGTATATGTATATTTATATATTACTGGGGAATTCAGTGCATAAATCTCTCGACTGACGCATATTATATTACATATAGAATTGTTATCTTCTTGTCTTTTCTATATATTGCAGATAAAATTACGCCTATGGAACACGTAAATAGGCAAGTTAAAACTTTGTCAGCTCGGCTAAGCTGTCTTACACGTTATGTGGTACATAGAAAACGTCGGTTGGAGTCAGCAGTAAGTCTACAACTCATGTTATTTTCTTTTTGTTGTTTTGTGTTCACGTTTAGTTATCAGGTAGTCTGTACTTTTCTACATATCAATCACTGTGTCAACGTTTGGTATCGTATTGTTCTTATAATTGGTGTTTCCCAGATTACGTCATCCTTGACGTATACATGATATCTGGCTATCGATCAAAGGATGTGTGTACTGTGGAGCAGTTCTCTCTTTACCTCTTTATGGTTGTGACACATGGTCATTGGAAGTAGAAGGCTTGGGAAGGGTAATTGTTTGCGGTCTATCTCCCGTGTTCATTGGTATAATATGGTGAGTTATATTTGGGTTAGGCTTAGTGGTAGGTAACGAAGGGAAGTCAGTCAGTCAATGAGTTTGCGAAGTTATATCGATTGAGGCGGCGAAGACACGTGTTACTCATGCCAAATCACTGCTTTCCTCAGTAAGCAATGTTAACTAATAGACGATTACATTGGAAAAGAGTGATAGGGTGGTTAAACCAAAACCTGTCATCAATCTATGGAGTAGTTAACAGTTGGTTTGAGTCACATACTACGGAGTTTTAGACTGTATGATTAGGGTCATTGAGATTCCAGGAACAAATGGCTACCGACTGTTATCGATACGGGTCAAAACCGTTCTCTATAGCTCAGATGCATCAGTCAGCCAGTCAGTCAGCGCACGTGTGTACCTTGTATGTCATCTCCTAGATTCATTTGATCATAATGTTTTCCCATATTACTATTCCTTTCTCTCGTACATTTCTGTCTTTCATAGTTTTGTTTCTTTCCTCTAACACTTTGTATGCTACTTAGAGTTTGGGAACTTGAACTAGTGCATTTGTGTACAAAGTTCTGCCTTGAAAATCAGACAATCAGTGTTATAAGTTCGTGTGGATTCTGATATGTAGTGCTTATACAATTCGCAAGTTACTACAACTCTTTTTGTTGTACACCGAATCCTAATTAATGAATGATTGGTTTTTTTTACTAAACCTGATATTACTTTGTAAGTTATTTAGACAAATGCTTGTACTTGTGGAATTACAATTTATGCCTTGGACTTGTGATAATAGGGATTAGATTGACTGACTGACTGACTGAATGTTTTCAATATAGAACTTTGCAGAGAAGTGTAACACTTGGAGTTGCCACATTTCATGTATCACACAAAGCATAATAGAGTGAAGGGAGGTTCAAAAGAGAGATAATAAGTAGAAGCTAATTACTGACCAAATTTTATTACAGGGGTAAGTTGATCGGTTAGGTTTCGAAGCCGGTATACTCCTGGGTATGCGTTGCTCAGGCAGGGGGCATTTCTGATATCACATACCACTAGGATACTTCCTGCAGATTTGTCCATTCCATTCTCAATGCCTTCTGCTTATGGGTTCGGTTCACTGCCAGAGTCCCTTGTTGCTTGTTCATCCTTTCTGACTGGTTATTTGGCTTTTGGTATCGGAATGGCGAAGTTAGCTGTTATTCAAATGTTGGTTTGCAGAGATTTGATTAGTTGCAGAATTCCATCATAAGCTGACATTAGTTAGAGAATCATTGGAAAAATATGGGAGTATTGGACACCTACTTCGTCCCAGTTTGTGACTTTTCATCAGCACACGCCCACCGGGATTCGAACTCAAGACTTTCCGCTTACAAGGCCAGCTCGTAGACCATTATGGCAAAGATAGCTGTTGTCGGGACTGCAAACTAGACTGGGTTTATAAGTGGAACCTGGACACCTTCCGCATGAGACTGGTGAGTATTCCAACAGTGAATCACCAGCTCCAATGTTTTTAAGAGAATGTAGTAAAAGAACTTCGTTATATAGATTATTTGTTTACATTCGGTTCAACATTTGCTTTCTTCGCTATTATTATTCTAATTATTATTATTATCTTTAGTAATATCGACTTTTTTGTTTTCGTTTTTACTTCAGTTGGAAAAGATCAATGCTCTTGAAAAACAGTTTTCTGATCATCTGTCAAATTGTACACCTTCTTCACGGTGTACACAGCGGTCTATAGGTTGTCAGGTACCTCCGAAATCAAAACCTTCGGGTTTTCTGTTGTCAAGTCCAAAGCATTCAGTCACTATATCGTCTGACATGAGTGATGTCTGTTCTTCCTCTTCAAGCAGTAGTGGCGCAATACAATGTCTCCAAAGAGCATCCACTTCAGTGGACGAGGATACATCAAAAATGTCTAAGAAACTTGAGATTCAAAAATGTCAGGCTGCCAACTCACCTTCCTCTCAAAGGTAATAATCATCTCTTCATAGTGTTGTTTTAATTTTGTCCCTTTTTTTCTGTTAGACATCCCAACAGTTTGTCTGTGTTAAGGTTGGTATAGGTGGTAGCCTTACTGTCAACCTTCTCTCTTTATTCTGGCCTTACTATTGGCTAGTTAATTAATTATAGACGAGGTTTAGGAGTGTGTTGGAGGTGGGAGTCGAATCCGTACCATCCGTTTGTGTGGTTGGCGAACATTTCATTGAACTATCGGGCGCATGGCTTGACTAGATTAGTCCTCTGACTACTCGCTGTGTAGTCTCTATTATTTGTTACGTACGGAAGTTTGCGACTATACTTATTTTACAAATTCCAATGTACGTCTGTGTCTAAACTTGATGCACTGCTGCTGCCTTATATACAGATTGAATTCTGTTTATATCTTGTAAAAATGCTTCTAATATATGGAAACTTTTCAAAAAAATTACTGGTGGTAAGTAGATGAATAGTATTCCTTATTCATTTGATGTGTATACACTAAACAAGTCTTTCACACGTTCTCGCACAAATGCCAAGCTTTCTAGTGTCACAAGTGTTAATGAAACCTACTTCCCTGGTTTTAATACAAATTATGTTCTAAAATGTCTCAAGTCGCTGAACCCTTCTTGTAGTTTAAGTCCAGATGGTTTTTCTAGTGTTATTCTTAAAAAATGTGCAGATATCCTGTGTTATCCACTCAGTGACATATTTAATGAATCTTTTTCCAGAAATGTCGTGTCAGACGTTTGGAAGAACAATAAAATTGCACCTGTATCTAAGTTATCTACTAGAACATGTTTTAAATCTGGACTTATTTCTGTTTCCTCTCCTTTTCTAAAAACTATGGAAAAGTTGATCTTACTTAATCTTTAACCTTTACTTAAGGCCTTTACCGATCCCAAATAATTCGCTTGGAGTCGATTGGTGATCGATATAGTTCGAAATTGTTGTCAGTGGTGGTACAGTTGCATCGACTTTCTGTCCACTGAAACCCTATTGTCTTTCTATGTTACTACCGCTTCTCTGTCGCATTTCTGCTTATAATTGTGTCTTTTTGAATTCCTGCTTTCCGTCTTTTGTTTACCACCTTTGCGTCGTGGTACATGGAATGTGACAACTCGAACTGTTACACTTCTGTGCAAAGTTCTATGTTGAAACCAGTCAGTTAGCATGAGATAGCGTCATTCATTTCTCTCTGGTAGAGAAAAATTTCAGTAGGTTGGCTACACAGAAGTCGCACATCCCTGCATACATTCTAGTGTGTGGTGTGTGCTACTGTCAAGATTTATCAGTAGTATATAAAGAGACGAGGATGTCAAATCGAGCGAGAAACACATGCTCATCAACCTGAAACCAATCTGGAAGTCTTCGTCACTCAGCCAGAATCAACAACAAAATTCGGACCTTCAATACAAACGTCAAGTCAGTTCTATACGGACCAGAAATTTTGGCGGGTGACAAAGAATATTTCCAACAGGTTGCGATGCAAACCTTTATGAATAGCTGTCTTCGCTGGATCTATACTGAAGATCAGATGGCCGGGCCGGAAAGAATCACCAACAAGAGACTATGGGAATAAATAAGACGAGAACAAACCGATCGCCCAACAAATATGCAGGAGAAAGTGGAGATGGATGGATTAGACACTCGCTGAGTAGGCGGCTGGATGACATCGAGCGCGTGTCAGGCTATTGCTCGAGTGGAACTAGGCCGAAAGGGAAGCGGTGAGTTGGTCGTCAGTGCAAGGGTGGCATGGAGGAGATCGTGTGAAGATGGTTTGAAACAGTATGGACTAACATGGATGGAGGTGAGAAGTACAGAAGAAGACAGAAGCAAGTGGAGACATGCAGTTGAATCCCTATGTTCCACTAGGAACCTAAGGGAACAATATTAATAATAATAATAATATAAAGAGACGTCCATCGGAAGAAAAAAAACATCTAATAGCGGAGAGATAGAGTTGACGTGAGACGTGGCAAATGAACCTGTGTTATGGGTAGGTGGGGGACATGAAAAGAAGACGAAGAAACGAATTACGAAAGGCAGAAATAATACAAACGATGATTTTAATTTAAGGCGGACATACTTTCCCCATGTATATATGTGTATATCAAATTCCAAATAAACATCCCGTTATCAAGTCTGTTGTCTTCTACTATTAGATTAGTACTCGAAATACCTCTTCAACTAGAACGAATACACCGGGGTCGAATTCGATTGTAAAGCAATTTTGAAAATGGTACTTGGGTTGACATCATGAACTCTATTCTTAAATATAAAACACCACAAAGGTAGGTACTCACAAGAAATGGATATGTAACTGTATAAATATTTACTAATCAGTACACTAACCTTTTTTTTCTCACTGTCATATATGGATATGAGTTCGATCACCGGCTTACTTCATGGAGAGTGCCAAACAAAATAGAATAAAGCAGCTATCTAATACACTCAAGCTTTCAATTATATAGAAATCTCTAACTGATTTCGGCTGATGATCAAATTTTGAAATAAATCGATTTCCTTTTTTTGTTTTTGATTTTTGTTCTCATTTTCCATAGAGTTGGGACTACTGGGGCAAAGAAAAGACGCTCCTCAGTTATACCTGCTTCACTTCGTAAAGCGAAGAAAACTAACAGGACGTCGAATAAATCTGCTAGAATGGATTAAACCCCTTTAACTTCGAGAATATAGTGGGTAGAATTTTTCCCCAATGAGTTGTGTATCAATTTTTCACCCCTGTATATATGTATATCTGTTTATATACGTAAGTCATTGAGTGGTAGCAGTATGTTTGTCAACACTTCTCAGGTGGACTGGGGTTCGATTACCGGCCACCATCAGACGCATACTCCTCAGCCTTGTTTAGCTTTTGGGAATAAACTAGGGAAAGAGCGAAGGTCAGGCGTGAGGCTGGCTATCCCTCCCACCCATCTCTTGAAAAACATCTTTGCTACTGAAACTACAAAGCCTGAAGCTTGAATTTCTGTGTTCCACTTGGCGGAACGCAAAGGAATTGAAAGGGAAAATAAACAATCTGATAAATGAGAATGTGGATATCGAAACAAAGCACTGTTCAGACAAAGGCTGGGGATGGGGGAGAGTTCTTTCCGAAGAATTAATCTGTGGTGAAAACTGTCTGCAAGAGAAATTTGTAGGCAGCAATTGATGTCATTGTTTACGTCCCGAATCGGGGTCATTAGAAGAAACAAGAACAAAGCTTAACCCTGAGAGGAACTCAACAACCAATCACAACAGACTTTGCGTCGGTGGATACGATTCGCAGATATATGGATAGCTTTGTAAGCACCGGTCACAAGCAGTACATAATAACCTTCAGTAAGAAAAACCAATGAGAAGAGGTTGCTTCTGTGCTAACAATAACACTAATAATAGTGTACGTAAAAATCTATAAATATCTGTTAATTTTCTCAATAAACGATCTGTTGCCTGGCCGTTGTCTTCTGTCGTTTCAAATATTCTTTAGCTGTGCAGTAGCATTTATATATTCAGCCTTCTTTCATAAAAGAAGATAGTAACACAAGGGGATGATTTGTGATAACCACAGTTGCTGATAATATTCATCAATTGAAAAGGAAGGGAACATTGAATAAGCAATATGTGTGGTTTGTCTATTCGAACGGATCTTCATTTTCGCTGGAGGTAAAAATGGCAGCAGTGGCCTAGTCAGTCAGTCAGTCGTACGCTATTTGGCAGAAGACTGGAGGGAAGCGATCGAAAACTTTATGCTGTAGTAGTAACCGTGTACTCTTGGTTCATTGTCAGGGTGAAGAAATAAACAATCCTCGAATCACCAATCTTTCTTCTATTCTTTTAAGAGTCGATGTACTGCACATAGTATCCTGAGGCAGCGCTAGGTTCATGCTCTTTTCCGTTTTGGACAATCGACACAATGTGTTAGAAGTTACACAGCAAGGCAGTTAATTTAATGAATGACCTGTAATCAATATGCACACGGAAACGGATGGGGGGAAAGTTTCACCATACATAAGAGTTCAAAAGAAATGTAAGATAATTCAAATATTTCCATTATGTAGTAATTATAGAACACAATTTTGGTAGAAGTACAGCTTATCTTGAAACCAAAGTGGTCAGTCTTTTTATGTTGTTGAACACACTGCCTAACTTCGATGCAACTGACATCAGTCAGTCAGTCTGTATTCGACATAGAACTTTGCATTGATGTGATGCAGTTCGAGTCACCACACTTCACCCAGCATACAAAGCAAGAGAAGAAAGTAGAAGAGATGCATAATAGAAAGAGTAAACAGAGGTGTGAGACAAAGGAATAGGAATAACGAAGAACAAAACAGTCTCATTGGAAATCATCAGTCACAAGGAGTGGATGCATCCGCACAGGCCAGTCATTGAGAACGATTTTGAGCCATATCACCAATTGTCTTCATCCTTCATTGGTATTTTACCTTCCCGACGACCCCAACCAGTCAGGAAGTCTACACCTTCCTACGTGGCTGGCTTAAACTAACTGTTGTGGATTTCGTTGACTAGTGAAGCCATGTTTTGGTTTGACCAGCACGTGCTAGCTCTTTTCCAGCCTGACTGACCCTATGTCAACTAACATTGCCCGTTGTCGAGGAAGGCGATGACTAGGCATACGTAACACATGTCCTAACCATCTCATCTGATGTAATTTCACAGCCTCGTCGATTGATTTCCCCTCCTTGCCTAGCATCAGTACCTCCTTATCTGACATCAGTACATGACGAAGTCGACCTTTTTTGATTTATCTCAAGTATAACACAAATTTAAGAAGCATTCTTATCACATGATTATTTGTAAATCTATGTTAACATTGTTTTATTATTTGTTTTACAGGATTATTCTTCATCAGTCAATCAATCGATTAATCAGTCAATCAACCCTGTTATAGTACCCAAAACTTCTTTGGGTTATTATTATTATATCCTTACTGCCTTTTGTAATACTAATAGAACAGATTAAACTATTTCTGTAATCAAAAGTAAAATCTGTTATTTCTTTTAAATGAATGAATGGGCAGAGTTGATCCAGTTGTTTGTGTTCATTTGGATATGTGTGTATGTGCGCCTGTTTCTGAATATTATCACACCTACTTATACCATTATGGGTAAATTTTGTTTTGATAAAGTCTCACAGTGTTATACAGTAATGTTTACTGATGACAAAGTTTCGAGCACAATTTATTGCTCATAATCATATCAAAGCACCTACTCACACGACTTCCTAAATTCATTCATATAGTTCCATTATTTTTCACTTGATTTCCACCTGATTTGATTGGTAGTAATATTTTCCATATTTCAGGTATGAGTGATGACTCATTCCTATTGCATGTGCTTGGTGTAGACTCGATGAACCAGACAGGATTCAGTAATCAACCTCTCTCTTCACCTACCTAGATTACTTTTTAGAATTTTAACCCTCTCTCACCCTATTGTGTGGTTGTGTGTGTGTGTGTGATGCATGCATTGCAATTGCTGAGCTTTTTTCTAAATTACTTGTCTTCTCGGGGTCAACCATTCTTACCTTAGCTAAATTCTTATGTTCCGACAATCTGACTACCCGTGACCTACTAGTTTGACCTATGTAGTTGACCTAACTCACAGTCATTGCAGGATATTTTGTAAATAATATTATTTTGTCTAATTGGGTCCACCGGGTCTTTTAACCTACAGAGCTTGTCTCTGTCTGAGTGAGTTTGTAGGTTTGAATGCCACCAGTCTAATTCCTGCTTTATTTAAAAAATCCTACGTAGTGTCTCAGATGTCCCCTCTTTATATGGTATAACTGTGGATGACTTATATTCTCTCTTATTTATGTTATTATTACTAGTTTCACAATTATTTTTCCTTTGGTCATTCATTGTTGATCTTCCCGAAATATGGAAAATATTACTACCAATCAAATCAGGTGGAAATCAAGTGAAAAATAATGGAACTATGTAAATGAAGTTCGGAAGTCGTGTGAGTAGGTGCTTTGATTTTTTGCAATAAATTGTGCTCGAAACTTTGTCATCAGTAAACATTACTGTATAACACTGTGAGACTTTATCAAAATAAAATTTACCCACAATGGAATTAAACTGTACCACAGTGCAGAAGTGTTATTCTTATATCAATGACACCTGCTTATATATTTTCAAGTATTGGTTTTGTAGGAATTTATGTTTGATTGGTTGGAGGATTTCACCATGAGTTGACATCATTTAAAGAGGCATTGGGAAACCTGCAGGGAGTACCGGCCAGCTGTTTCGTCCTAGTTTGGGACTATTCAGCAATACGCACCCACGACAGGGGTTCGCACCCAGGATCTTCTAGTCACAAGGCGAGCTTGTAGACCATTATATATGTATATAAATAGTGTGAATTCCCAGCTGATGGATTCGACTCACACTAGTAATTCGGAGACCGCTGGTTCCAAATCCTGCGACAACCTAGATTTTTATCTCACTTCTTCAGTCTTCGGTGAGTAATATTAACATTAGCCGTAGACTACTATTTGGTTAAGGACTGACGGACGACTGAGCCTTAATATAGAACGTAGTATAGAAGTAAGTCACTTCAAGTTGCTACACGGCATGTAGACAAAACATAGAAAAAAAGAGTCTCAGAAAAACGATAGTAAACAGAAATGTACTTAAATGGGAAAGAATGACGATTTAGTGGATACAGGAGAGGTCATAAAGAGTGAATGCAATTGACCACTCCTGTTAGTTCGTAGCATCGTGGAGACACCAACCACACAATCTGCATCTTTCTATGTAGCTGGCTCAAAAAACTCATGGACTGATGCCAGGTTTTTGTTCGACCATCCCTAACTCTTTTTCAATCTAATCCTATATCGGCTAAGATTTCCTGTCAAGGGGGACGATGGCGCAGTCTGCGTAACACAAATCCTAGCCATCTCAATCTCAATTCGAAGGGAAGCTATATCGTTTACGATTGCTAGGACATATGTTGCGCATGCCAAGCCATTGCCTTTCTCGATTAGCAATTTTAGTTGACATATAGGAGGTTAAGCTGGAAAAGGGTGGCTGGTTGGCTGAACAAAAGCATGACATCAATCCATAGAGTTTTTGCTAGTTAGTAGTTTCAGTCAGATAGGGAGGTGTAGACCGTTTGGTTGTAATTCCTGGGATCTGATGATATTAGTTGGTTGGAGGCAATCGGTAGGAATCCCTGGACCTAGGTTTTGTGGTAGTCGGAACTGGTCAGCAAGGTGTATCTACAACCTTGCGGGAACTCATTTCCCTTGTGAGATTCGAACTCGCGTCACCCAGTGGGGCTGCAGTCAAAGACGTTACCACCACTGAGCTATTCGGGCTCACGATTGACCTCCTGTAGGACTGTAGTGGATATTTTGATTGGACACTAGTAACTAGTGCGATGTGTCTAGTCCTTTCTTCGGTGCATCTAATACCATCAAATCAATGTGCACCGTGATGGCAAGCTACCTAGAATGATGGCCACATAGCAAACCTGAGTGATAGAATTCAGTATTCACCGAAGAAAGGATTAGGCACATGACACTAGTTATTAGTGTCCAATCAAAGTATTCCTGGGACCTGTTTGTCATGTCTTGTCAACTTGACTGTGTGGCTTTATTTGTCTTCACCTAATTTACTACTAGTTGTATGCATAGTTCGTTTGTGTATACCGAAGGTTAATTTAACAAGCAGTTTGTGTTGGTGTAATGAATACACGTGTATAACTGAAGATTTCAGAATGGTTTCAAATTAGCTGATTTCTTTTGGTTTAAAAGACAAGCTGTCACTGTTAGGTTTAAATTGGTTGGTTTGAAGAAAATTACTTGCATTGAAATGTATCAAGGTTTAATAATATACTCGCCTAAAGAGTTCGTTAATGAAAAGTTGTAAAATACGATGGGGACAACTGTTTTATTTTAAATAGTTGTTTTCTAATTGTTACAAAACCATTTTGTTGATTCGTATTTCATATGGCTCATCGCCTCAAGCAGTTGACTTCCATTCAGTGGATCATGGATCCAAAGTCCCCTGTACCTACTTCACCATAAGCAGCAATTACCATCAGTGGGAGATATCTAATGGAAGTCACCACCACTGTTACTTATTTGCCTAAGCAGGATCGTTCAAACTACAGTCAGGAGGTATGAGTGAGGATATCAAAGCAAGTTAGGATTGGAATAGCAAGATCAGACCTTTGTTACTCTAAAATGAGTGTGGAGATCGACCGCACTCAGCACGAGGGGCAAGGTGCAAAGTTTCAAGACAAATGTCAAAGCAGTGATTCAGAGATTTAGTGGGCACACACATCACCCAGGATAAGATGTCCAGAAAAGATTAGCAACAAGAAACTCTGGCGACGAACCGATTGCCTAATAAAAATACGCAGAAAGAAATGGAGATGGATTGGATATACGTTGAGTGAGACCACGTGGCAGGTCGTCGAGTGCGGACCCGGATAGAGGACGACGAGTCGGGCTTCCTACAGCGACATTCATGAAGTCACGTGACAAGGCAAAAAAAATTGTGGTCAGGTTTTGAGCCAGCTTAAAAAGACCGCAAGGAGCAGGGTGAATAGGTGATGTGCTTCTGAAGCCGTATTTTCCACTCGGGAACCAAGCCGTCACACGGTAAACGTAGCTTACATTGTGGTATATGACGAGAAGTCTTTTCCGACTAGCTGAGTTCCAACTTCAATCTTAGTTTCCAAACTTAAAGTGAGACATGACATGCGAGCATTCATTTCAGACAGCTCTATATGTATTATCTGTCTGTTGTTAGCAGTTGTGCAAGTGAATATGTAAATATCAGGCTCAAATTGTATTCGTATTGAACGTGATTTTGTGTTAATGACTTCAAATAGTAAATACCGGTCAACAAAGAAGCCATCACTTTGACTTTAAGCTGTTATCGGTCACTGAATAATTAGGTGCTCGATTTGCAGCTGATTACAGCAGAAATAACTAGTGATTTTATAGTGCAGTTAAAAGCGATTGTTGTAATAAATTTCCTTTAATGGTTACTGTGTATTGAGTAGCTTTTAAGTCTATGGTTAGATTGGTAGTCAAAAATTCTAATAAGATTTAGATAGAAGAAGCGATAAAGAACAATATGAATAGAAGCATTAATATCAAATAATTGGAAGCAATCAGCAGGCAGCCCTAGATCAGGATTTTGTGCTTGTCGGTACTCGTCAGCAAGGCGTATCTGTAACTCTAAAGGAACTGATATCCCCTATGGGATTCAAACCCTCGTCAGCTAGTGCAGCAGTCAGAGACTATGCCAATGAGCTTTTGAGGTTGACAATTACAAATAGCTGTGGTTAGCACTGTGTCTGATATAAACTGAAATAGTTCAGCAAGTTGTTGCGTCTCACATTTGAATTTTCAAGCTCAGAGTGGCACAGATAGATGAATCGCTTTGCGACTATGCAAACTAGTAGCAGTGAATACGTGCTACAATACGCCCCACTCCCACCGATTATGAGGCGTACTTATTGGTATCTCCAACCTTATGTTTTTGTTGTCCCACTGATGTTTACAGCAAGTCTTTATAGACTATGATTATAGAGGTTTATTTCCAAATATATTCAAATTCGAAACAAACCGAATTCCTGCAAACTAATTCTCGGGAATTTAATGTTATGCTCGCTAGTGACTGGCTACAGGATGAAGTTGCTTGGAGTTCTGGTGAGAAGTCGTAACCGGTGGTTTCCACAAGGTCAGGAGGCGTGAGCATAAATGCTCACTGATGATGCTGGCTGGTGGTCGCTCTAAAATCTCAGATTTTCAGAGGTTGGAATTCATGAACTACTTAGTCGGGATCCAGTGGCTCAATGGTCTACTAGGTCGCTGGAAATCGGATGGTCCTGGGTTCGAATCCCGGTCGGCGCGTACTACTGATGAGTCCCATACCGGGACGGAGGAGAATCGAAAAATGAACAAGGAGAATTAGCTGTGATGTTAGATTGTAAAGTAAAATGGATAGAAGAAGGTAAACTACACACTAGTGTGTACAGAAAACCAACTCATTCTAATAGATATTTAGACTTTAATTCGTCTCATCCTTTAACTGTTAAGGTAGGCTTAGTTAAATGTTTAACAAACCGAGCAGTGGCACTAAGTAGCACAAAAAAAGATCTAAATGATGAATTAAAACAGATAGAAGAAGCGTTGGTGTTGAATAACTATCCTATAAAATTCAATAGGAAGATCATTAAAGGCCCAAAACAAAATCAAAATAATTGTGAAACTAGTAATAATAACATAAATAAGAGAGAATATAAGTCATCCACAGTTATACCATATAAAGAAGGGACATCTGAGACCCTACGTAGGATATTTTAAATAAAGCAGGAATTAGACTGGTGGCATTCAAACCTACAAACTCACTCAGACAGAGACAAGCTCTGTAGGTTAAAAGACCCGGTGGACCCAATTAGACAAAATAATATTATTTACAAAATATCCTGCAATGACTGTGAGTTAGGTCAACTACATAGGTCAAACTAGTAGGTCACGGGTAGTCCGATTGTCGGAACATAAGAATTTAGCTAAGGTAAGAATGGTTGACCCCGAGGAGACAAGTAATTTAGAAAAAAGCTCAGCAATTGCAATGCATGCATCACACACACACAACCACACAATAGGGTGAGAGAGGGTTAAAATTCTAAAAAGTAATCTAGGTAGGTGAAGAGAGAGGTTGATTACTGAATCCTGTCTGGTTCATCGAGTCTACACCAAGCACATGCAATAGGAATGAGTCATCACTCATACCTGAAATATGGAAAATACTATTACCAATCAAATCAGGTGGAAATCAAGAGAAAAACAATGGAACTATATAAATGAATTTCGGAAGTCGTGTGAGTAGGTGCTTTGATATGATTATGAGCAATAAATTGTGCTCGAAACTTTGTCATCAGTAAACATTACTGTATAACACTGTGAGACTTTATCAAAACAAAATTTACCCATAATGGCCTGACTTTCTAAGAAACGGCCACAAAGTGATGACAGAATAACCGTCAGCAAGGAAACAACCAATCAGAAGACGTTACTTCTCTGCTAACAATAACGAATAATAATGTACATAAAAATCTATAAGTATCTGTTGATTTTCTCAATAAACGATCTGTTGCCTGACTCTTGTCTTCTGTCATTACAACATGAGTGTTTGTGAGAATTAAAGATCTGGTTATTTTTATGATTACAAAGTTGTTGTGCTTATTTCTTTATGACATTTCTCCAATCAAAGAAGTATCATGGTACACAAGATATAATTATACGAATACAAGTTAATCAAATACATTTTTTTGGTAATTTCCCAACACGCTTCACGATTTAATAATAACACTTATTACAAGTTCGATCACGAGTTGACATCAGTTAGAGAACGATTGGTAAACCAGGGAGTTTTGATTGGACATCAGTAACTGTTGTGATGTGTCTAGTCCTTTCTTTGATGCAGACTGAATTCTATCTGTCAGGTTTGCAATGTGACCACTTTTCTAGGTAGCCTGTCATCACTGTGGTGATATTAGATGGTTAAAGGCAATCGGCAGGAAGCCTTGGACCTGGGTTTCATGCTAGTTAGCACTCGTCACAAAGATGTATCTAAAACTGTGATGGCGAGCTACCTAGAATGGTGGTCACATTGCAGACCTAACTGATAAAATTCAGTCTGCACCAAAGAAATGACTAGACACGTTACACTAGTTACTAGTGTTTAATCGAAGTATCAAATACAGTCCTACATGAGGTCAATCGTGAGCCGAAGTAGCTCGGTGGTGGTAACGTCTGTGACTGCAGCCCCACTGGGTGACGCGGGTTCGAATCTCAGAAGGGACATCAGTTCCTCCAAGGTTGAAGATACGCCTAGCTGACGAGTGCCAACTAGCATGACACCTAGGTCCAAGGCTTCCTGCTGATTTCCTCCAACCATCCAAAACCAGGGAGTACTGGATGATTGTTTCGTCATAGTTTAGGACCCCGGAGTTCGAACGCAGGGCCTTCCCGTTACAAGCAACCTCGTAGACCGCTCAGCCACTGTCACTATGTCCAATGGCTTCTGAATTCCAAATTCTTCCAATCCTCTAGGTAATGTCATCTGTGCTCTTATCTGACCTCAACAGTCACTAGGACTCCAGGTAACTTTGTGTATACAGCCAGTCGCTGGTGAGCATCAGATTAATTTCCAAGTGTTGATTTTCAGGGATTTGACTGCCTACAGGGTTTCATCACTAGCTGACCATCGTGGTTCAAAGTGGATGATAATCAAGTTGATCATAATAATTTTGTATTTACCTGCGTCAGTTAGGTTGAGTCTGAGGCACAACGGAAATTCCGCCTATAACCTTCATAGTCTTACATGATGTAATTGTTATGTACTCGTCGCTAAATTATTGTTATGGACTGGTCGAGAAACTAATAGTCCTGACGCAAGAAGGTGGAAATCAGAAGACCACTAGGTTTGCGATGATACTTCTATTTTCCAAAACACAAGGAGAATGCAAAAATGGTATCACACCAAAGCGGTAAGTAAGTGTAAGTCACACAAATTGTGAGAGCGAAATATCTATGACCATCCAGACAAGTGTGTGAACAAATCACTGGACAGTCTTAACATGAATGGCTAATTATAATGGAGTGTCGATCCAAATATACATAGCAAAATATAGCAGACATGTCAACAACCACCATATATGGATATATGTCACCAAGCAACGGATTGTCAACAAACACTCATATTATATATAATATAAGGGAATATACATTGTTAAAGGAGACAGGTTCATACAAGTGAAATGGTCACAGACTAAGCGAGCAAACAGAAAGAGAGATCAACATACACACATAAATATATAAATGGATGCATATCAGTAATATAACCCCTTTCCAGAAGTTCAGGGAGCAAGAAAAGAGGTGCTAATTTCCACCAGAGAACCTGGACTTTTGTACGTAATAGATGAAGTGAAAGGTCTCCCTTGAATTCAAGATATGAAATGACTAACAGGAATCAAAGAAAAGTCTGGTATCAAGGTGGGGTAATATTCGATTTATTTTTGTACAGCAATGTCATTGACTTATGGAATTGAAGGAATGCATGCTGGCCTTTGCTTATGCCTGAAACTATAATTAACAGTATAAGATTTATGAGGCTTTTAGTTTAAAACCACTGGTCCACTTAGATAGGAACAGTGGTATGGAGAATCCTCCAGGATAGAGGTTATCAAGCCGTCTGCTTATTATTATTATTATTATTATTGTTACCTTTAGTTCCTAGAGGAACATAGGGCTTCAGCCACACGTCTCCATTGCGTTCGGTTCTCTGCCAACCTTTTCACCTGGCCCCACATTTGCTCACATGTTTTCATCTCCTCTTCACACGTCCTCCTCCATGTCACCCTCGCAGTGACAACCAACTGGCCGATTCCGGTTCCAGTCGAGTGATGGCCTGGTGTGTGATGTCACTCACTTGATGGTTTGTTTTCTCAAAGTATGGCCAATTCACCTCCATTTCTTCCTGCATATTTCTTGCACAATTAGTTCCTGCTGGATTGGTTCGTTCATTGCCAGAGATCTCTGTCGCTGATCTTTTCTGGCTGGCCATCTGATTTTGACTAGTATTGAGCAAAGGCAGTTGTTGATGAAGGTCTGTAGTTTGTTTGAGGTGCTCTTCATGACGCTCCGAATCTGTCTGCTTAGCTAGTAAATTTTCTCTTGAAGAATAATGTAAGTCATACGAAAAGACAAATGAGGAATGGAGAAAGCACACCAAATTTGCGGTACACCAGTTACGTTATGGAGTTTCCTGTCAGGTAAATAATGGAAAACTACTTTGTAACTCCAAGGCTCAGTATATGCTGTGGAACGCTTACTCACGAAGAGTTAATTGCTGTCAATAAGCGCCAAATTTAGTTGCAGCTCCTTCCTCTGATTACCTATGATTAGCTAACATATGCATCTATTTAAATATGTTATCCGGTGGATGGTAGCTAGTAGCAGAATTCAGAATGCGCATTTCGTCCCATTTCTGACTCTTCAGCTGGACTCACCTACATCCTTTAGTGAGTGGTGTTTCCACTGAGGCTCTGACCCAGCACCTGTCGTCTCAAACATCAAGCACAATCCAACGGGTCATGAAGAAATCCGCCTCGTGTGTTACAGGTATGAGTTATCATGGGATTAAATTTCGTATTTCGCATTGATTGATTACAGTAGACCTAAATGTTTTGGTGCCAAGATGTCTGTTGATTTGTTGACGCTTCGACGATCTCTGAGAACTAATATGATGTTATTTAGTGGACGGTGACATCATGCATCTGTAGATGAAATTTTCACTGCGCTCGCTAGGCTATGTGAAATAACACTAGAGTGAACTGTAATGCGGCATTACATGTTGAAAGTTTTAAGTGACAGAGGTACCGTGGATCTAGGTATTCTCTTCACATATTTTATACCAATCATCAACAAGGTGTCTGTGTTTGTGTGTCTGTGTAGATTGAGTTAAACTTCATTGTCATACATTTGTTTTACTGTTGAAAATTGATTTGTTTTGATCACTACTCATTCATGTATAAATGTTTTGTTTTTGTCATTTTAGATTTGTGTGGTTTAATCGTGTTGATTGAATTGAAGAAACCGTACAATATTATGGACTCCTCATCTGAATCACAAGGTATGTGGTAATGTTTCAAAAATTTTTTCATCATTTAAGCTATTGCAATAGTGTTCATTCCATGGCTGGCTTAAACTAACTGTTGTGAATTTCGTTGACTGGTGAAGCCATGTTTTGGTTTGACCAGCACGTGCTAGCTCTTTTCCAGCCTGACTGACCCTATGTCAACTAACATTGCCCGTTGTCGAGGAAGGCGATGACTAGGCATACGTAACACGTGTCCTAACCATCTCAGTCGATGTAATTTCACAGCCTCGTCGATTGATTTTCCCCTCCACCTACCTAGGACGCAACGCCTAACCTCAATATTGCTCACCTTATTACACCTACCACTTCACACGAGAGATAGAGCGCAGACACCTATGATCAAAGACAGCTAATATTTTCATGTCCTCCACTCACAATGACCAGGTCTCACAGCCATAAAGGATGACGGAGCGAACTGCTGAGCAGTACATCCACTTTTTAGTTAACAGCCAGCCGGATATCACGTCCACGCCAGAGATGGTGGCGTAAACTGGCATATGTGAAACTAGCCTTCTGTTTTCGTGCAGAGATTTCGTCAGCGGTTAATCCTTTAGCGTTGGCTGATGCAGCTTCTCAAATAAGTGAAGTGGTCAACGCGCTCTACCACTTCATTACTTATTTCTAAGGTAGGAGTGAGTCAATGTAGTCCAGTCCCGTAACTTTGTGCGAACTGGTAATATTTTGCGTTTCTTTTTATTTTCCTCTCTGGCTTTGTTTGCTGAATGGAGTGTGGCGACTTGAGCTGCTGTACACCGGTGCAAAGTTCTATGTTGAAACTAGACAGATAGACAGACAGAATTGGTAAGTGATTCTCTGTTTGTACCTCGAAGAGCATAAATTGCACAATGTGAATTAATTTGAGAATTACGACTTTGGTTTAAACTTGCTCGATTTGTATTGATGTATTTTATTTTATTTTTTTGATTTACAGCTTGTACCATTATCCCTGATTGTCATAGAAACTAGTTATTATTATTTTCCTTTCTATTATAAACAGAAGGATTATCGATGTTTTGTTTCGCCCTAATTTCATTTCTAATCAACTTTTCCTTTTTCTTCTAAAAAACTGAGATCATTTTCATGTGTGTGTTTTAATTTCAAATAGAATTACAACAAAAGTTAAAAAGTCTTAAAAAGCATATTGATTCTATAACAAGACAAATTACAGAATTGAACAATGAACGACAAGAGCTTCAAGCAGAATATGATAAGGTGAAATTTTCATATTATATGATTACGTAATGCCTTTATTTTGATATGTGTAACCTGATAAATTTATTTGTATGTCTACTAGTAGTTGAGATATACGTGGGAACAAGACAGTAGACGAGGTGAATAATACAAGACAATTTTCTTCTACTCTTATAACAGACGGTTGGAGGCGATTGACAGACAAGTCATCAAATTGTGCTTCGTGTATCTATTGACATTCGCCAATGAATACTATTCACAACCGTCTTTTTTTTTTTTTTTTTTTTTTTTTTTTTTTTTTTTTTTTTTTTTTTTTTTTTTTTTTTTTTTTTTTTTTTTTTTTTTTTTTTTTTTTTTTTTTGTCTGTCTGTCTGGATTCAACATAGAACTTGGCACCGAAGTGCAGCAGTTCGAGTTGCCACGTTCCAAATAGCACACAGAGGTAGACAAGAAGATGAGTGGAGAGAATTAATAGAGTTTGCCAAATATAGGAGTGAAACAGAATGGGTAATGGTAGAAAGGAATATGAAAGATTACAGAGATTGAATACATCTGCGCCACTGATAACGATTTTGAGCCATGTCACCTATTGTCTCCAGCCATTGATTCCTAGAGTCCCGAGGGCCCCAACCCGGGAGTCTGCATCTCCCTACCTGACTCAGTTTAACTGTCAAGGATTTCATGGATTGATGTTTCCATGTTTTTGTTTGGCCACCACTTACTCTTTTCCAACCTGAACCTATATCATCAGCTAGTAATGCCCGTCGGGGGAGGCGGTGGTTAGGCATGCGCACCACGTGACCTAGCCATCTTAGTCTATGTAACTTTATAACCTCGTCGATTGATTTTCCCTCTTTGCCCAACACTCTACGCCTAACGTCAACATTACTTATCTTGTGAAACCACCTTTTAACGTGAGACAGAGATCGCAGACATCTATGATCGAAAGCAGTCAACCTTTTCATGTCTTCAACGCGTATTGGCCATGTTTCAGAGCCATAGAGAAGGACGGAGCGAACTGATGAGCAGTACACACATCCCTTGGTTGATAACCAGCCGGATGTCACGCCTACGCCAGAGATCGTGTAAGTCAGGGAAAGCAGCTCGAGCTTTTTGGATCCGTGCTGAGATTTCGCCGCCAATCAGTCCATTGGTGCTGATACAACTTCCCAAATAGGTGAAGTGATCAACATGTTCTATCACTTCACTCCCTATCACTAAGCTAGGAGTTGACGTAGTCCAGTCCTGTAGCAGCATCTTACATTTTGTAGGGGCGAATCGCATGCCAAACATATGAAGATTGCTGCTCAAGGTGTTCAGAATACTCTGCTGGATTTTGTCAGCATCCTCCCCTAACAGGACTATGTCATCTGCATATTCTAAGTCCATAAGACTATTTTTTCCCTGGTAACAAGTCGATTCCTAAGTTGTTAAGTTCAGTTAAGGATACTTCCATTAGCATATCTATGATGAAGTTAAACAGAAATGGGGAAAGTGGACATCCTTGTCGTACACCACTGGTTGTTACCAATTCAGATGACAATTCCCCATAAGCCCTTACACGGCTACGTGAGTTTGAATAGAGTGCCTTGATTAGTGCAATGTACTTTCTTGGCATTCCCTTCACAGTCAGACATTGCCATAGTACCTTTCGATCCACGGAGTCGAAGGCTGCCTTCAAGTCAAGAAATATGGCAATTGTTGGACGCCGAAAAGTGTGTCTATGTTCTAGGATCTGTCGGAGAGTGAAGATATAATCTATGCTTGTGCGAGTGTAATGATGAATGTGTTGATTGGCTGTTTGAGCTTCCCTAGTGTAATTTTTTTGGTAATAGTTTGATTCCACACCGAATTTTTGATGCAAGTATGCAATTTTCTGCATTTTGCAGGCCGACTAGTTGATATCAGGTGTGCGTCGGCAGGGGATCGAACCCCGAACCATGTGCATGATCGACGATAGTCTTAACCTCTGTGCCACCGACGCACATGCAATCGACAGGAACCTTTGGACCTAGGTTTCGTACTTGTTGTGTGTGTCTGTGGTCCTGAAGGAACTAATGTCCACACTGGGGGGTCGAACCTGGGTCACCTCATGCTGCAGTCAGAAATGTTACCACCACTGAGTTATTTGGGCTCACGATTAACCTCCAGTAGTAATTTGATATATACTTTGATTGGACACTAGGTACTAACTAATGTGATGTTGTCTAATCGATAGTGTTCACTTCTATCACTTTAATCTATTCTACAGGTAAGAATAAGAGATGGTAACAAATTGTTTTACCGAGCTTTTCACATGTGTAGTGGAACCACAGAGTGACATCAAGTGTAGAACAAGAAGTGTAAATCAGTTAGAGAACCACTGGAAAACGTGGGAGTGCTGAATGGCTGTTTCGTCATAGTACTCTCAGGTTTCCCAACGGTTCTCTAACTGATGTGAGCTCATGATGAAATCCTTCAACCAATCAAACAAAGTCCCGACAAAACCAATACTTGAAAAGGTAAATTAAATGATGGGTTTGCTAAATGTGGAATGTGATACCTCTGAAATACATGTCGCGTATAGCAAACGGGTTAGTGGAGTAATGGCTCATCCGCTTAGGCACTCAACTTTCAACCAGCGAGTCGAGAATTTATAGCCCTTCTCCACTTACCTAGGTCTAGGCAGTTAGGTAGTTTCATTACACACACACACACACACACACACATACTCAATAAAGGAGGCTCATCGCTAACTGCATGGAATTGCAAGTAGTTTTTGAGTAGCATTCCATTCCTTCATATGACTATGAGATATTCGTATAACTCAGTCTGAAGAGTTGGTTAGTGTGACTAATTCGAAATGTATCATAAGTCACTGAAATGGCTGTTTGTCAGTGTGCGATCATGTAATAATAAATAAATAAATAAATTTTCAAGTATCTGTTTTGTAGGGATTTTGTTTGATCGGTTGGAGGATTTCATCATGAGCTGACATCAGTTAGAGAAGCATTGAAAAACCAGTTGGGAGTACTGGACTGTTGCGTACTGCTGAAAAGTCCCAAACTAGACTGACGAAACGACTGTCCAGTACTCCCAGCTGGTTTTCCAATTGTTCTCTCACTGTTCTCAGCTTATGATGAAATCCTTCAGCCAATGAAATAAATAAATAAATATCTTTACTCGGTGTTTATACAGTGTTCAGAATTCTCAGCAAAATTTATTGCATGATATTTTCCCCTCACCCAGGATCTTTAAGTAAACTAGCAGTCTATAGTATATATATGTCACGTGACGAAATACTTTTAGATTTCAAGTCTAGACTAATCCCTTATGATATTTCTCCTTCATCTCCGCGACGTGCGCACTGCACTGGTAGTTTGAAAACCAAGTGAAAGTGTGCACTGAGTACATTTTGTGACTAAACGACACAGCTGAAAGGTTAAGACAATAAGAAGTAGAGAAAACTTTGTTAGGTAGCGCTGTGATTCAAGTGAACCGCCAGCTTGTCTTTATTGTTTATCTATACTAAAGTGTATAGTATAGACCATCGATAGTTTGCTTCAAAACTGTTTAGAGTATTTCATTCATAGAAAACTTTTCGAGTACTTCTTATTCTGCTTTCTTCTTCTATAGTTGAAATCCCAACTGCAAACAGTTCGTATTCAAGAGATTTCAAGAGATTGTCAAAGTGCATCGTCTGAGTATGCTTCAACAAAAGCTACACCCAAGATATTCCCTTGGACAGATGAAGTGAATCGTGTGAAGAAAGAAATTTTTGGCATTTCTGAATTTCGTCCTTTACAAATTACAGCTATTAATGCTTTATTAGATGGTCGTGATGTTATCTTAGTCATGCCTACAGGTATACATTTTTCTCATATGCATATATTATATTTGTGAGTAGTTTTTTTAAAGTATTGGTTTACAGGGATCTGATTGATCCAGTTCAGACCCCAAACTGACATTATTTAGAGAATTTTTTGATAACCAGGGGAGTACTGGATAACTGTTTCGCCCTGGTTACGGATTCCTCAGCAGTGCTCATTCATGACCACATCATGATTGGAATCTAAAACCTTCAGGTTACAAGGCGAGTTCGCTAACCACGTGGATGTCAGGATGGGACCGAATAATCCGTCAATTCTAGCTTCTTTTGATTCGCGATATACATTGTGACCAGCATTCTATGTATATTGGCGAGTGTTTCTTCTCATCGCATGCAACTTTATTGACCCTGCTGGCCACTTCAGTTAAATTCATCCTGTAATCACTCACTAGTGAGCACTATTTAACATTTGCTTGCCATCAGCCTGTTGTTTTGTTTCGTTTAATCTTAGTTCTTGGAACACATCTGGCTATGAGCTACACTTATTGTGTGAATGCTGGTTATATCACTCAATTGCTCAGGTTGAAGTAGGTAGAGCGGGTTTTGGGCGAAGTTAAATTTTAAACACCGCTAACTACCAATCAAGGATTGACACTGAACTCACCAATCACATGAAGGAGGCGTTTTTGGTTATGGAAAACATATATTTATGAAAAAAATGCATAAAATCTGCATAAAACTGTTACACAGGATACCATCCTCTGACATGTGATAAAGAAGATCTCCTAGTTGAGCGTCGGAGTAGCAACTAGGAAGTTACACCACATTCTATACATGTATTCATCTAAATCATTATAAATTACATAGTTTTGAGATTCGTTAATGGCCCTTATCCTGTTTTTAACCTTTCCCAATAGCCTTCTATAGAACTGATGTGTATCCGTGTAATGGGATCCACCAAATCATTAGAATGGTTCAGTATGTAATGAATCTATCCAAGGGGATCGCAGGTAGTTATAACCTTTCCACTAATCCACGTGTACGACGGCACCTTCTCCTCTTAATAATGATATCTCTTCAGTGCTGGTACCACTGAACTATTTTCTCTGTTTCAGTACCTATACCTGTCACAGGCTGTTTTAAAATCCAGTAACTACAAATATACAAAATCTGGGTTGAGGTCAAGTGGGGCGTGGCAAAATATGTTCCTACGAAATATTAGAGTCATCAGCTTGCCTTCCCTGACATTTAACTCGAATCAAGGGGAGTAAGACCTTCAACTCATGTGAATGAAAGTCATTGGGCCATTCAAGGTCATTCGCCGATTGGTAGTCAGTGGTACCTAAAGTCTAACTTGGTCGGGTTTTGAGCCCCAGGACTCAGTGGATTGGGTTGTTGGGTTCTGTCCTATTTGTCAGTGGTTGACTGAGTGGTCAGAAAGTTTGCCTTATAACCCACAGGTCCTGGATTCGATCCTTGGTGAGGTTGTCGGCGCGCACCGCTGAAGAGTCCCAAGCATGACTGAAACAGCTGTTCACTACTCCCTAATTAGCAATCGTTCTCTCTCTGAAGTAGGTTTTTGATTGACCATTATGTCCTGGTTTTGTTTCCTCCACAATTCATGGACACATTCTACTAAAAGAGTGCTAAACTTATAAGAAACAGCTGTTTAACGCTTCTCGACTTTTCATCTGTGATTGTATATCTAGCGGTATCGTTTCGTCATCTGCAGACCTTACAGTGTTGGCTTTCGCTTTATGTTTGCTTTCTACAACATTTACGTTTTTTTTTAGGTGCTGGAAAAAGTTTAGTCTACCAATTACCGGCACTACTTAATCTCGATGCATTTAAAGTAGACGGACGATGTTTTGGTTCAGTTACACTGGTGATTAGTCCATTAGTCTCTTTAATGGTAGATCAATCGATCAATTTAACAAAATATGGTCTTGAGCCAGATACAATCGCTGTTTTGGATGCAAGTACACCATTACCAGAACAACGTAGAATTCTTTCATTGCTTGCAGAGAAACCGGTCAGTTGGTTTTTTAAAATTATTATTATGTTTTTGAATACTATTCTGATTGATTGATTGATTTGTCCACTGGGTGAGAGGTGGTCTTTCAAGTTGTGTTATGCCATGGGATGTTGCTGCATACCGTTTTGTTCTTACAAGAGGCTGGGATGTGAGTGTGTTCTTTTGCCCTGAAAACCAATGTAAAAAATTACTCAGTCGACTGGTGTAAAAATATATGAAGAGTCGGTAGTTCAGTAGTAGGGGTGCTCGTCAATCACGTAAGTAGCCTGAGTTCGAATCCTAGCAGGCGCTTAATCGACAGTAATCCCGGTAGAGAGTTAAGTTAGAGGATGAGGCTAACAATCCCACTGTGTGTGAAACAAGCACTACCGCTAATGAGACTTCAAAGTTCGAGCTTGATGCCCTATGCTACCAGGGAATAAACTTGTTGACTTAGTATATGCAGACGATATAGTCCTTCTAGGCGAGGACGCTGACAAAATGCAGAGTCTTCTGAACACCTTGAGCTGCAATCTACGAATGTTTGGAATGCGATTAGCTCCCGCCAAATGCAAGATGATGTTACAGGAATGGACCACACTGACTCCTAGTTTACAAATAGGGAGTGAAGTGGTAGAGCACGTTGACTGTTTCACTTACTTGGGAAGTACCATCATCCACAACGGGTTGATCTCTGACGAAATCTCCGCACGGATGCAGAGGGCTAATTTCGCATATGGCGTAGACGTGATATCCGGTTGGCTATCGACAAAACGGCGAGTGTACTGCTCATCAGTCCGCTCCGTCATCCTTTATGGCTGTGAGACCTGGTCATTGTGAGTGGAGGACATGAAAATATTAGCTGTCTTTGATCATAGGTGTCTGCGCTCTATCTCTCGTGTGAAGTGGTAGGTGTAATAAGGTGAGCAATATTGAGGTTAGGCGTTGCGTCCTAGGTAGGTGGAGGGGAAAATCAATCGACGAGGCTGTGAAATTACATCGACTGAGATGGTTAGGACACGTGTTACGTATGCCTAGTCATCGCCTTCCTCGACAACGGGAAATGTTAGTTGACATAGGGTCAGTCAGTAGTATTTTCCATATTTCGGGAAGATCAACAATGGCCAAAGGAAAAATAATTGTGAAACTAGTAATAATAACATAAATAAGAGAGAATATAAGTCATCCACAGTTATACCATATAAAGAGGGGACATCTGAGACACTACGTAGGATTTTTTAAATAAAGCAGGAATTAGACTGGTGGCATTCAAACCTACAAACTCACTCAGACAGAGACAAGCTCTGTAGGTTAAAAGACCCGGTGGACCCAATTAGACAAAATAATATTATTTACAAAATATCCTGCAATGACTGTGAGTTAGGTCAACTACATAGGTCAAACTAGTAGGTCACGGGTAGTCAGATTGTCGGAACATAAGAATTTAGCTAAGGTAAGAATGGTTGACCCCGAGAGGACAAGTAATTTAGAAAAAAGCTCAGCAATTGCAATGCATGCATCACACACACACACAACCACACAATAGGGTGAGAGAGGGTTAAAATTCTAAAAAGTAATCTAGGTAGGTGAAGAGAGAGGTTGATTACTGAATCCTGTCTGGTTCATCGAGTCTACACCAAGCACATGCAATAGGAATGAGTCATCACTCATACCTGAAATATGGAAAATATTACTACCAATCAAATCAGGTGGAAATCAAGTGAAAAATAATGGAACTATATAAATGAAGTTCGGAAGTCGTGTGAGTAGGTGCTTTGATATGATTATGAGCAATAAATTGTGCTCGAAACTTTGTCATCAGTAAACATTACTGTATAACACTGTGAGACTTTATCAAAACAAAATTTACCCATAATGGTATAAGTAGGTGTGATAATATTCAGAAACAGGCGCACACACACATATCCAAATGAACACTAAACAACTGGATCAACTCTGCCCATTCATTCATTTAAAAGAAATAACAGATTTTACTTTTGATTACAGAAATAGTTTAATCTGTTCTCTTAGTATTACAAAAGGCAGTAAGGAAATAATAATAATAACCCAAAGAAGTTTTGGGTACTATAACAGGGTTGATTGACTGATTTTTTTTTTGATTGACTGATGAAGAATAATCCTGTAAAACAAATAATAAAACAATGTTAACATAGATTTACAAATAATCATGTGATAAGAATGCTTCTTAAATTTGTGTTATACTTGAGATAAATCAAAAAAGGTCGACTTCGTCATGTACTGATGTCAGATAAGGAGGTACTGATGCTAGGCAAGGAGGGGAAATCAATCGACGAGGCTGTGAAATTACATCAAATGAGATGGTTAGGACATGTGTTACGTATGCCTAGTCATCGCCTTCCTCGACAACGGGCAATGTTAGTTGACATAGGGTCAGTTAGGCTGGAAAAGAGCTAGCACGTGGTGGTCAAACCAAAACATGGCTTCACCAGTCAACGAAATCCACAACAGTTAGTTTAAGCCAGCCACGTAGGAAGGTGTAGACTTCCTGACTGGTTGGGGTCGTCGGGAAGGTAAAATACCAATGAAGGATGAAGACAATTGGTGATATGGCTTAAAATCGTTCTCAATGACTGGCCTGTGCGGATGCATCCACTCCTTGTGACTGATGATTTCCAATGAGACTGTTTTGTTCTTCGTTATTCCTATTCCTTTGTCTCACATTTCTGTTTACTATCTGTATTATGCATTTCTTCTACTTTCTTCTCTTGCTTTCTGTGCTACATCGAGGGAGTGTGGCGACTCGAACTGTCGCACATCAGTGCAAAGTTCTATGTCAAAAATAGACAGACAGACAGACAGATGCCCTATTCTGTACTGCGAGCACATAGGAATCAAAACATATTACCGTCATTCTTGTTTTGTTTTTCTTCTACTTTGTTGATGTGATACATAGGCTGGAGCAGTCAATGTTCCATCAACAGGTGGTTCAGCGTTCGAATCTTGCTGCCTCTACTTTATTTTTGGCGAATGGATGGAGTACGATGAGCCCTCAAACAGAATAAGTCTAATAGATAACTCGTTACACCGGATAACGGTGTTCATTTAACCAGTGACCTACTGTTTTTTTACACTAGTACATTATATATTGTTCTATGGAACTTAGCAAAACCGTTGGTTATAATCTCGATCAATGATTTCCTACCTCGATCTTGTTACCCAGGGATTAGACTGCTGGCTCGAATCGTCACATGATGAAAGTTTTCACTTAAGTTGTTGTTTCTTTTCCCTGATCAATTAAAAGTGCTCCTTAGTTTTATAGGATTTTAGATGATGGCGAATTAGTTACAAGATTTCTTCATGAGCTGATATCAATTAGAGAGAGAACCACTGGAAAACCTGGGAGTACTACACATCTGTTACGTCCTAGTTCGGGACGTCCTAGTGACCACTCAACACCCTACTATGTCAGGTTGCATTGCTTGTCAAGGGAAGGCAGTGGTTCGGCATGCGCTTTACGTGTCCCAGCCACATCTATCGACTTACGTACCCTCCTCATCTAATACTCTACACCTAACGTCAATATCGTTCACCCCTTCACACGGTAGATAGAACGCAAACATCTGTCGTCGAAGACATCTAGCATTTTTATATCTTTCGCTTTCAGTGAACATCTCTTACAGCCATAAATAAGGACAGTACACATGTAATATGGATAGTACATGTGTAGCCTAAGTGGTTAAATGGTCGGCTCATTGGCCTCGTAACTTAAAGGTTCGAGTTTCAACCCTTGGTTGTGCAACGTTGAAGAGTCCCAAACTATCAGTAAACATCACTTTTGGCTGTTTTGTGAACTTTAACAGACAACCTGTATTAGTCTCTACACTGCTCAGGAATTTCAAACTAGAATGTAAGAAATATTAAACTTTCTGTGGTTTCGAATATTCTTTTGTCTGTTGACTGCTTTGATATACAATCGATGTTTAATGTTTTTATCCTTAATTCTTGCTTATTTTAATGTTGTTGTTGTTGTTTTTTTAATTTCAAGATACGTATATTTTCTTATGAATTTGAATGAATCGATGGTTAGTTTCTAAACCTATTGCCGCTTTCTTCTCATTTGTCTTTGCTTTTTAGACCAATAAAAAAGAGATCTCGTCTACGTCTACTCTATGTAACACCAGAGAAATTGGCTAAAAGTAAATTGTTGTTGAATCGTTTAGAGTTGGCTTATACCACTCATCGACTGGCGTGTATTGCTATCGATGAAGTTCATTGTGCTAGTCAATGGGGTCATGATTTTCGACCAGATTATAAATTTCTACATGTTCTGCGTCGACAATTTCCCAGTGTACCAATTATCGGGTTGACAGCGACAGCATCAGCTCAAGTTATTGTAGATGTGCAGAATATGCTGGGTATTAATATTGATAAGTGCTTAGTCCTCAGAACTAGTTATAATCGAGAAAATCTGAATTATTACGTAAGTCATTCAGAAAATTTTTTTATTGTGTATTTAAAAACTACATATAGTCGTCTCTTTCAAGTCTGACGATGGACTGATATTAGCTGGAGAACCATTGGAAACCAGGGAATTACTGGGTAGCTGTTTCGTCCTAGTCCATGACTCATTGACAGTATGCTCCCACTAGGCTTCGAACCCAGGACCTTCCGGTTACAAGGCAACTTAGTGGTCTACGAGCTAACTCGCCTTGTAACCAGAAGGTCCTGGCTTCGTACCCTGGCGGTGGGTGCTTACTACTGAAGAGTCCCAAACTAGACTGACGAAACAGCTGTACAGTACTCCCTGCAGGTGTTTTCCAATGGTTCTATAACTGATGTCAACTCATGATGAAATCCTCCAACATTTTGATTCATTTCGACGCCTTCGATTATTCTTATGACTCCTAGGAGAGACGATATATTACTATCTGTTATTATCGACTGTCAAAATAAGAGTTAAGAGTAACAGTGTGTCCCGTGTTCGAGTCTCACTCCGTCTACTCCATTCCAGAGGAACTAGGTTGTATCATCCTCCT